TCTTGCTTCTTCTTGTTTTTTGTTGTTTTTGTTTAGATGCAAACAACAAATATTGTTTCAAATCAAGTTAGTTCAACATTTATTCTCCATCCCGTTCCACCATACAGTAGTATGGAAAAGTTTGTTCATCCCCAGTCAAATGATGTCTTGTTGATTTTCTTGCTACACACAATCTTTAAGGAACAAACTGAAATATTGCACTGTTCTGCAAAATTTTAGTGCAGTAATTTCCATTTGATGAGATTGACAGGAAAAACATGAATCACAAAATGTGCCTTAAGTTTTGGACAGACCACTTTATTATTATTTTTTTCAGTAGCTGTCATTTTGTTGTTGACAATATTTTATTACACATTTTGCTATTACACATGCTAAACTGTGCCCAGAACATGCTGTTTTAGTTGTAGACCCACATCATATTCAGAGTTGGTGTTATGGCCTCCCCCCAGCTGGGCACTGGTACACACAGCAAGATGTCTTGCTTAGCCAGCTTACTCTAAGCTTGATTCAGTCTAATATTTTTCTTTTATTTATTTAACAATATAAATAAAATAACAATTTAAATATAATAAACAATTATTGTTTATGTATTATTATTATTATTTAGCAATATACATTAAAACAATATAAATATAACAAAAAACAATGATAATAATACAAAATTTATAGCATGTAACTATTGCCGTTCTCTGATGTTTGTGTGGGTGTTGGTCATGTGTCTATATGTGTGTGTGTGCATGGGGGGATGGATGTCCGTGGGCAGGCTAGCAATTATGTGGAGTGTCTGAATACACGCAGTATTGGTAGCTGTGTTTTGGGTTTATAGTTCTCAAAAGGGGCAAATTGAATAAATTGGGTTCGGGAGGTTATTGTTGTAGGATGGTAATAAATGTTGACCAGGTCAGGTTGAATGCAGTGGATTTGTTTTTGACCAAGGCTGGAAGATGTTCCATTGATATACAACCATATTTCCAAAAAAGTTGGGACGTTGTGTAAAATGTAAATAAAAACAAAATGCAATGATGTGCAAATCACTTAAACCTAACTTTCATTAAAATAGTACAAAGACGACAAATCAAATGTTGAAACTGAGAAATTTTATTTATTGAAAAATATATGCCCATTTTGAATCTGATGCCAACAACATGTTCCAAAAAGTTGTGACAGGGCAACATAAGGCTGGTAAAGTTGTGTAATGCTAAAAAACACCTGGTGGTTAATTGGCAACAGATCAGTAACATAATTAAGTACAAAAAAGCAACCCAGAGAGGCTGAGTCTTTCAGAGGTAAAGATGAGGAGGGGTTCACCACTCTGTGAAAGACTGCACGACCAAATAGTGCAACAATTCAAGAATTTTCAATGTAAAATAGCAAAGAACTATTGCTTTTCATCATCCATCGTACATAATAACATTAAAAGATTCAGAGAATCTGGAGAAATCTCTGTATGCAAGGGACAAGGCCAAAAACCAGTATATGCTGGCTACGATCTTTGGGCCCTCAGATGGCACTGCATTAAAAACAGACGTGATTTTGTAGTGGAAATCACTGCATGGGCTCAGGAACACTTCTGAAAACAAATGTCTGTGAAAACAGTACATCACTGCATTCACAAGTGCAAGTTTAAAAAAAGCAAAAAAAGCAAAGAAGAAACCAAATATAAACAGGATCCAGAAATGCTGCCACCTTCTCTGGGCCCGAGCTCATTTAAAATGGACTAAAGTAAAGTGGAAAAGTGTCCCGTGGTCTAACAAATCAACATTTGAAATTCTTTTTGGAAATCATGGACGTTGTGTCCTCCAGGCTAAAGACCACTCAGCTTGTTATCAGTGCACAGTTCAAAAGCCAGTATTCACAATGTTATAGGGGTGCATTAGTGAACATGGTATGGGTGACGTGCACATCTGTGAAGGTGCCATTAAAGCTGAACAATATATACATGTTTTGTCAAGATATGCTGCCATCCAGACAACGTCTTTTTCAGAGAAGGCCTTGCATATTTCAGCAAGACAATGTCAAACCACATTCTGCATTACAACAGCATTGTGCCATATTAAAATAGTCCAAGTACTAAACTGCAGTCCAGACCTGTCACCAGTGAAAACATTTGGCACATTATAAAATGAAAAATACAACAAAGGAGACCCTGAACCGCAGCTAAAATACTATACCAATCAAAAATGGAAAAACATTTCACTTTTAAAACTACAGCAACTGGTTTCCTCAGTGGTAAACATGCCCCCATCCCAACTTTTTTTGGAACATGTTGTTGGCATCAAATTCAAAATGGGCATATATTTTTCAAAAAACAATAAAATTTCTCAGTTTCAACATTTGATATGTTATCTCTGTAGTATTTTCCTTTAAAAATATGGTTTACATCATTTGCATATCATTGCAGTGTATTTTTATGTACATTCTGCACAGCGTCCCAACTTCTTTGGAAATGGGGTTGTATAATTTATGAGTATGTTTTTCCAGCGAGGATGCTGGTCCTCCTTGATTTCCAAATCAGCAGAATTGTTTTTTTTTGGCGATGGTTAGCGCTATGAGAAGAATTCTGCTGTTTTTGTTTGTTAATCTTACTGTTGATATGTCTCCAAATAGACTGATGGGGATAGTGGAAGAGACTGATTCAATAATGTGGTTAATTGATCAATAATTTGTTGCCAAAAGTATTTATTGGGCATACAGTACTATGTGACATGAGTGTAGTTATCGGGGGTGTTTAGTGAGCAGTATGAGCAGGGAGTCTATAAATCCTATTTTAAATCATTTTAGTCCGGTGTAGTGTACTTTGTGAATAATTTTGTATTGCATGAGGTGCAGACTACTACAACCCCAATTCCAAAAAAGTTGGGACACTTTGTAAAATGTAAATAAATGTAAATAAAAACCCATAGACCCATATTTTATTCACGATAGAACATAGAACAAATATCAAATGTTGAAAGTGAGACATTTTACCATTTCATGAAAAACATTAACTCATTTAAAACTTGATGGCAGCAACGCATCTCAAAAAAGTTGGGACAGGGCTGTGTCTACCATTGTGTAGCATCCCCTCTTCTTTTAACCACAGTCTGTAAATGTCTGGAAAATGAGGAGAGTAATTGCTGGAGTTTTGGGAGAGGAATGTTGTCCCATTCTTGTCTGATGTAGGATTCCAGCTGCTCAACAGTTCTGGGTCTTCTTTGCCAGATTTTTTGTTTCATTATACACCAAATGTTTTCTATTGGTGAAAAATCTGGACTGCAGGCAGGCCAGTTCAGCACCCAGACTCATATGAGCATATGTTGTTCTAAAATGACATGGCATCTGTGGTTTCCAAAAATAATTTCAAATTTTGATTCATCTGGCCACAGAACAGTTTTCCATTTTGCCTCAGTGCATTGCAAATGAGCTTTGGCCCAGAGAAGACGGCGGCGTTTCTGGATCCTGTTTATATATGGCTTCTTCTTTGCATGATGCAGCTTTAAATTGCATTTGTGGATTGCACGGCGAACTGTGTTGCGTACAGGCATTTCTCCAGATTCTCTGAATCTTTTGATGATATATGTATTGTGGAAGGAGGGTCTTCCAAATTTTACATTGAGGAACATTTTTCTGAATCTGTTCCACAATTTTAGACGCAGTTTTTCGCAGATTGGTAAACCTCTGCCTATCTTTGCTTCTGAGAGACTCTACTTCTCTAAAATGCTCTTTTTATATCCAGTCATGTGAGTTAGTTGCAAATTGCTCCTCCAGCTGCTTTTTTATTAGTACCACTTACTTTTCCAGACTTTTGTTGCCCCTCTCCCAACTTTTTTGAGACATGTTGCTGCCATCAAGTTCTAAATGAGTAAATATTTTTCATGAAATGGTTAAAATGTTTCACTTTCAACATCTGATATGTGTTCTATGTTCTGTTGTGAATAAAATATGGGTCTATGAGATTTGCAAATCATTGCTTTCTGTTTTTATTTACATTTATTTACATTTTATACAGCGTCCCAACTTTTTTGAAGTTTGGGTTGTACTATTAGCCATGTTAAATATGTTTTTAAGGATCTGTGACCAGAAATCAGTATTGGGAGTGATTGAAAGATCTTTCCATTTCCTCAAATGTTGAGTCTGATTTGGATGCTACCTTGTAATTTTGGACAAGGGTTTCTTTGTAAAGGAAAAATTAATGACGTCTGAAATTGGGAAGGTGAGTTCATATGTCTGATTTTTAAGCCTATAATTGACTTAAATTTTAGATATTTGAGGTGCTGGTTACTGACAAAGTCACATGTCTGGGTTAGATGTGAGAATTACATAAAATTGTTGTTATAAAAGATGTGCTTGGAATGTGTTATACTCTTTTTTTATCTATCTGGGGACATTTGGGATTTTATTGGTAAGTGGAAAGTCAGTGTTATGCCATATGGGTGTATAGTCTAACAGAGATGGACATGATCTCATAGCAAGAATACAAGTCAGAGGACAACAATGAGAAATTTTTGGCTAAATATGGGTGAGAAAGCAGACTTGTTAGGTTGGAAACAAACCAAGAGTGGCATTTATAAACCAATTCAATGCTTTGTGAAGGTCGAGCTCAAAATAGAGGGTGATAGTGTGCTCATGAACATGCAAGCAGGTCTGCAGAAAGAACAATGATTATCTGCAGCAAACAACATCATTATAAATACAACAATTTCTAGGAATGCCTCTTTTAACTCATCTTTACTCATTCACACTTATAGGTGTTTTTTGCTCATGTCAGTGAAGGGGCATCATGCCAGGTGCAGCACACATAGGATGCAAATATCTGCTCACTGCTGAATAAATCATGAGGCATCTCAAGCCTGTTTGGCTCTGAACAAGATTTAGTGCTTTACCTTAATTGGTAATGTGGCAGTATGAGCCTCTGACTCCACCTTCATATGTATCATGTGCCCTCAAACAGCAGGTATAAGAGCCTATAAGAAGTCTTCAAGAACTCAGTTTCCTCTCCTTCTGTACAGGCATCAGGGAAACTCCTCCAGACACCATGAACAAGATCATCATCTATGAAAATGCTGTCTTTCAAGGCATCAGCAAAGAGTTCACCTCCTCTGTCTCCAACTTAGCTCAGGAGAATTTTAATGACTGCATCTCCTCTCTGAAGGTGATCGGGAATCCATGGGTGGCGTACTCAGATGTCAATTTCAGTGGTAACCAGGAAATCTATGAGGAGGGTGAATACGCCAGAGTGGAGCACAATGACAGCATTTCTTCACTAGAGGTGCTGACGGAGGACCTGACGAACCCTCAGATAACACTTTATGAAGATGCGGACTATAAGGGCAGAAGTATTGTGCTGAAGGATGAGACCAACCTGTGGTACGGCTCTTTTAACAATGTGGCATCTTCTCACAAGGTTCAGAGAGGAGCCTGGGTCCTGTATGAGCATGCCGACAGACGTGGGGCAAAGATGGTGGCCAGAGCTTCTTGTGATGTTCCTGTGTACGACTCATTCAATGACCGAGTGTCCCATGTGTGCCCTCTGAAGCCAGGAAGGCCCACTGTTACAGCAGAGGTTCTCTGGGACAAGAAAGAAGAACATGTCAAATCAGTTACGATCGACTCCATATGTGGTCTGAACTGTGGAGAACGTGAAGAAAGCTTCTCCACTGAGCTGTATAGAGAATATGAGGGCTCTGTCACTGACAGCTTCAGCTTTGGCAATGCTACACAGATCACCTGGGGAATGAAATTTAGTGTAGATGTAGAACAGATGAAGGGAAACCACAACCTGAGTAATACCTTCACTGTAGAGAAAGGGAGCAGCAACACCAGAACTGAGAAGAAGAGTGTCCGGATCTCCCTGCCAGCCACTGTCCCTCCCCGCACCAAGTTCACTGTGAACGTGGTAAGGAAGGAGGTAGATGTGAAGGTCCCAGTCAAGCTGACCATCACTGCTGGGTCCCTCAGCATGAATGAATTTGGAGAGTACAGGTGCCAGTCTGGTAACTCCATCACCACCGAGTACATAGAGGATAAAATCTAGTGCACAAGTGTGGTAAGATACAAAACACACACAAACAGCATAGTCTTAATTTAGCGTTTGGTGTTTGCACTAGTAGAGTCTTGTTTTTCTTCTTGTTTTATTCGGTAAAACACTGGTTAAGGAATAGTGCATAATCATCTCATCATCTGACCAGGCAATGCAAACACCAGAGCTCATGTCTTGACTTCTCTGGTTTCCAGGGAATCCTGCTAATGTATCATCAGGACATCACCCGACAGTCTCGACATCAGTTGAGATCGACATGAGATTTTTTTTCTTCCAAACTTCTGACCTCCTGACTTTACCTGCTTCTTTGATGCATCTTAATACTGTAAGCATAAGAATAAGCATTGCATCTCTGTGTGTGGTCTTTTCTAAGTATTGCAGTGATGGCATATCAAATAAGTAAGCACAGTAATCGTCCTATAAAATTATGTTTATATTCTGTAGTTGGTGTCATGGGCCATATTAGGAACCTCTGGTATAAGCTGGTTTTCTCTAAGACAAAAATCACACATAGTGTTAAATTTTCCAAATCCATATGTTTTACTATATGGACATTTTTCCTCCCGTTGTCATTGAAACCTCACCAATAGGATGATTCACTTCAGAGGTCTATAAATCGTCCCTTTAGAATTAAAAGGTTCTGTCTGCATTCTGAGCAGTTTTGAGATGTTGAGCTTCAAAGATTTTGCATTCTGTTCAGCAAAACCAATATGTGGAACACGTCTGTGTCATACATGAAAATGACAGACACCCTAAATGTATTCTAAATGTTCAATATCAAAATCCTATCGCATTTATAAATGAGTTCTTTTGGAAAGGTCAAATGCAGAACCTTCTAATCCTAAGAACTCACTTTGAGGAATTATGAAGTTCTATCTAGTAAAACATTAAAAGAAGCAGTGATTTTCAAGGAACACAAACAGGTTCCTCATAATTTGTTTTTATAAGATAAAATCAGTGTTGTAGCAGAGTGTCTACATTATCAGAAAGCGAAATTTAATGCATTCTTATGGCATTTTTATGAAATTTATTTGTATTAATTTATTTTTTGTGACATTTCTTGTTTTAGAATAAATCATCTTTTACTTATTCAAAAAAAAGCATTGCTTTTTAAGTATAAAGGTCAGCGCAGAGGTCCATTTTAGGTAGGAACCATTAGTTTAAGTGTACATTTGGTTTCACAGCGACCAGTTACTGTAAAGAACTGTCCCAGCAAGTAAGTGTAGCCGGTCAGTCTAAAGGCAGTCTGATGTTTTGTTTTATATCAGAAATGTGATATTAATGTGCCAAAATGTTTTATTTTGGGAGAAAGAAAGAAAAAAAAAGCTGCATGAATGAATGAAATTAATGTTTATGTTGTAATTAAAACCCCAAAAATTCAAATGTTCACTATTTAATTACCTTTAAGGCTTAATATTTATAAAAATTTAAGACAATAAGTTTAAAAAAAAAAGAAAACTACAAGGAGACAGGCAGTGCATGGAGGATGCAGTGCATGACAAAGAAGCAGAACCTAATTGGTTCTCTTGTGTGTATTCAAAGAGCTGATTGGCTCACAGATAGAACCTTATAGAACTAAGTTAGAGTTTGACTTTGGAGACAGAACCTCTTTTGTTTTCTAGATAAAGAGTCCAAAAATGCATACAACTCAAAAAAAAAAACACCTCACATAATGTTAAGAAGTTGTTACAGAATATATCAATAACTCAATTTTGACAAAAATGTCAGATAGAACTTTATAATTCCAAGGGGATGAAACGTTTTCTGTCCTCTTTGACTGAAGTACTTTTTATTATCAATTTCTTTATGATTAGACTGTTTTGACCTTGTTCATGTATTTTTTTTTAAGCATTAAAAAGCAACAAAAATAAAGAAGTATGCATTTCTGTCTCTTGTGGTTACTGAAGTTACTCTTTAACACTTTTTTGTAGGGCAGTGATCAAAAGGCTGCATGACAACTTCATAAGCCCTTCATGACAACTGACACAATCCTACATAAACATTTATGAACACTTATTCCAGTAGATGTCATTTGTAATGAAAGTTGCCTTTGCCAGTGCTGTTGACTATGTCAGATGACACTGAAATTTTTTGTGACAGTAGTCGTGACACTTTTTGGGGTAAAATACAGATTTTGTAGCTCAGTGTACATCACAGTGACATAATACCAAATAAGACCACACGATCAAATGATTCTTCAAAAGTCCATTAAAATGCAGCCATTGAAAAGAACAATTTTGTACATCTCAAAGTGGGTTAGTAATCCTCAGCTATTAAAATATACTATATGAAATAGAAACGTATTATACTGTACCAAGTATTTGATTTACCATAGAAATCCAAGGTTTTATTCTAGATATGCGTTATATGTTTTGTTGATGGCTACATGATGTCAAATGGTTGCACTAGAGCAACTATTTGACATCATGTAGTCTTCAACAATGTCAAACAATCTAGCAAACAATTGATAAATGTTAAACAGTGTTGCAACCAGGAGAAAGGATTAGCATTAGCATCGCTAGCATGCTAACAGTTTAGCCCACTACAGAACATGCTCTGGCTAACTAAAGCACTGACACAAGTTTAGTTTAACGGCTTCTCAAAAACAAAAGGCAAACAGTAACTGAAAAAGAATACAGATTTCTAGCAAGTTTAGGCTTGTTGCCGAAAGTGACCCCACCCCACACAGAGTGCTGCCTTTGACAGCTTGATAGCTGTTAAACTGTAGAGACCATTTAAAAAACAAGTGACAGTCTGATGGCTGTTAAACTGTAGAGGCCATTTAAAAAACAAGTGACAGTCTGATGGCTGTTAAACTGTAGAGGCCATTTAGAAACCAAGTGACAGTCTGATGGCTGTTAAACTGTAGAGGCAATTTAGAAACCAAGTGCCCCACATGTGCTAAACAAAAGTGAGGAGTCAGCAAATTTATGTTTCTGACTAACTTGAAAATGTAGCCCATTCCTTTTTTATGATAGCACAAAGTAATAAAATAATCTTTATCAATAAAATGTAAAGCTTACAGAGCTATTCCTGACTAAAAACCTGGCTTTTTAGTGCATTTGAGTCTCTCTTCTTTTATATCATTTTCATGTTAGTATGATTAAATGTTTTGGCAGAATGTTTAGTGAGTTTACAGCATCTGAATAGTTGAATGAAACAGCTACTAGATCAGGCAAAATCAAAGAAAGCCGATAGAAAAGGAAGTTGATGTTGGCTTTGCTCACTCTGCACTGGTCATATTCACAACTGAAGTCACACAGTCACCTGATGCTGGACAGTCAAGCAACATACACTATATGGTTAAAGGTATATGGACACATAATTATTAAGTTCATGTGCTTCAGCCACACTCTTTGCTACTAGCTGTATAAAATCAAGCATAGCCATGCATTCTACATAGACAAATACTGGCCATAGACTGGGTTATAATGAAGGGCTCTGTGACTTTAAACGTGTCACTGACATAGCATGCCACCTTTCCCACAAGTCAGTATGTGAAATTTCTACCCTGCTAGATCTGCTGCAGCCAACTGGAAGTGCTATCAACATGAAATGGGAACTTCTAGGCAACGAACTGCTCAGCCACAAACTCACAGCTGAAGCACTTTGCTATGTTCTGTTGCATCGCTCACTACAGAGTTATAATCTGCTTCTGGAAGCAACATCAGCATAAGAACTGTGTATCGGGGGTTTCATAAATGGATTTCCATGGCCGAGCAACTGCACACAAGCCTGAGATCGCTGTGTGAGATGCCAAGCATCCACCCTCTATCTGTTCCAGCATGTGCTGTGCCCCCTGTGCACAAAGCAAGGTCCATGAATGGCTTGACAAGTTCATTGTGAGAACTCCAGTGGCCTGAACAGAGCCCTGACCACAACCCCAGTGAACACATTTGGGAAGAATTGGAACACTGATTGCGAGCCAGGCCTTCACAACCTCACAAATGCTCTTTTGACTGAATGCTGTTGTTGCCACACTCAAAACGTAGAGTTATGGGACTGTAACTTCACATATACTCAGTTTGTGTCTTACATTAAGTTGCTAGATTTCATGTCACAGGCTGTATGAAACGATTCTTTAAGCTCAACAGTGAAATGGTCTTTGCACTTTTAGCTGCTGCTATTAGGATCTTCTCTAGAATTAAGCTGTTAAACCTACGTCAGGTCAGCGGGGCAGGGACGTCTCAGTAGACTGCAGGGCCTTTATTATTATCTGCCTTAATTAGCTTTTTTGTTAGCTTTTTTTGCAGCTTTTGCCACTGCTTTCCATCTTCACGTTGGTAATTCAAAAACAGTAATGAACTCTGTAGAACGCTGCCTGTTATGTTTGCCAGTACCGCATTCACCATATGCTAATCTCTCAAATCTGACATACAGTACAGCGGTTACATGCTAGCACCCTTACAGACGTCTGAATATAACTACCACGGTTATTTAAGGTGGAACAGGAAATAACAATGAGAAGCTAAGTTTAGCGTTATCTGTTTTTATGCACTGTATGAGACGAGTTATAATCAGAAAACAGTAGTTGCACCACTTGAGGTGGGTCCACAGGTTTAACCCCTAACCTACTATGGATATTCACTTGGATGTAACATTTATAGTATGTCTGCGTGTTCTTGTGCTTATATGCAAGTTTATACATCATCACCAGGCCGAAAATGCTACTTGCCCACCAGCAATTTGATATAAATACATACATATTCAGCCTTGTATCTCCATTTGTTGTTGTATATTATTTTTGCATCATTTGAAAAGTCCAGTAACCTTTTACAATGTGTTAAAATTTTGTGATAAAATGACAAACAGAGAAGATCTAAAACTACTTGGGGAAAAAAATTGCTGTTACACTGACTTCCATCACCAGTTAAGAATGTTTTTGTTTCTCCTATGAAGTTGTCATTTTTTAGATACAAGGTTTTGTTCCGACAGCAATGATGCCTGTTTTCAATGCCTATTCTCTCTGAATGCTGTGTGAGCCTTTAATTTTAATATGGGTGCAAAATCAAAAACAAGACATTGTAAGAGAGAAACAAGCCTTACTCACTTTAACCTGTGAGAACATCTTTGTGTTTCTCTCCCTGCAGCGTTTCGGCATGGTTCATTCTGGGGGGGGTGGGCAATTTCTGTTAAGTGGTGGTGGCCTGAGAGATTCTCACTCTCTACACTATGTATTTCAACTTTGTGGTATTGAAAGAAGAAATTAGAACCAACACTTTCTATGAATCCTTATCATGATTGGCATAAGCCTGTAAAATTGCTTCTAATCAGTTATAAATACATGCATGACAAACAGCAACAGTGAGGTTTTTAATGACTTAATTGTTTAGGAAATTCATACATAACACAATACATAATTTATACATAACATAATACCAGTAAACACTATAAATGTTCAGTTCAAGCCTTAAAATACAGAAAACACAGAAGACTCAACAACTAAATACAACACTTTTCAGTGTTTGGTGTCTCCACCCTTTATTACAGTTTTCATTCATTTTGGTTCCATTGCTTTCAGTTCTTCAAAGAAATCTGCAGGGTCCTCCGAAGTTCAGTCTTAGACATTGTCTTCATTTTCTGTTTCTCATGCTCATTCTCATTCTGTTTCAATCCATAAACTTTGCAAATTTTCTTCTGTTCTGTCTGTTTTCTCCATTAATACCACTGACTCAGTGTCTTTGATGCAAAGCTCCACTCAATAAGCATCAAAAGCTATTCAGAGGGCTAATATCGCCCCCTTGTGGAGAATTTTTAGTCTCATAAAATGAGTGACTGGCTCAGAGGCTCATGGGCACCAGTTTAAATGGCCTGCTTCATAATCCTTTATCCATGATTATTTAAATGAGGCCTCAGAAAGCTCATCCGTAACCATGTTTAAGATTCATCTGACCTCTGATGTTTCTACACCCTGTGGTTCATACTGTCCCATTATTGCACATATAAACAACACCGTTTTGACTGGATTCCTATTGACATTGTCTTCATCTGTGCTGTTCCACTGTTATGGACGACCTCAGTGGTAAGACTTTGAGCGCGTAGTGAACACTCCAGTTTCGGAATAATGGTAAAACTCTCTCAGTGAAAGTGTGTGTTATAGTGTGCAGGTGTGTGTTGGTCAGAAGATCAGTGAAGGTCACTTTCCCCCTGTCCCAGTCCAGCTGCACTCTGACCCTCTGCAGCTTCTCTTTTATTTTGAGAAACTGGAGTGGCTGTCCTGGGTAGCGTACCCAGTATTTATCAGTGCTGTTAAAGCCCAGAGCCCACACACCACCCCAGAGAGATCCTCCCTTTCTCGGAATAGACTCTGCTATCACTCCCACTTCCCAGCGAGCAGTATCTCCAACCTGGACGTCCCAGCGGTGAGTGCCTGAGTTAAAACCCTCAGAGCCCAAAACACACTTGCACCAATCAAATCTCTCTGGATTATTAGGAAGCAGTAATTCCTCATTTCTGCTTACAACAGCAGTGAGATCATCAGACAGGTGGAGGGCTCGATGTGCAGTGTTGGGGTCCAGAGTAACAGGGGCTGAGGAGAGAGAAGAAGAACATCCATGTAATTTACCTTGATGATGTTGTTTAGCCAAGAAATGTGAAAGACTTATTAGGTTCAGTCATGCTTAATATGTGGTCCTTAAACAAATGGTTTAGTAACACTGACTACTTAAATACAGAGGCATGTGATCCAAAATCAGTCCTGTTTTGTGAATATCAGGCCTGGTGCTGTCTGAAATGGCTACCTGTAGTGAGGAATTTGTTTCATTTTTAAAATTCATCATAAGTCATATGGTGCTCTGAAGCACATCAGCAAGTTAGTGCAACGTAAATGAAGACCTGGATACTGTTTGAGAAGGTTTGAAAGAAGTTCTGGTGATTTTTTTAGTTTTGGTATTTTTATAGAAACTGGCTATTTGGGTGACTGTTCTAGTTCTAGTGTTTGTTAGTAAGCTCAGCTCCCTAGCTTAAGCGCTGAAGTAAAGAAAAATTTGAACACACAGTATGTGTCGCTGATTGACTACACTATTGACTATGGTAAGAGTGCAAAATTGGGTAAATTTGATTTTTCACAATTTTTTTTTTCCTTTAATGTTTAGTTTTTTTATCAATTCAATTCAAACTCCAAACCCCAAATGAAGCCTGTTTATTTTAATAATAAGTCAAATCTTTTGTACTTCAGGCTTGTGTCTACAAATAATGGTAACTCACTGTACTGGAGAATCTCCTGCATGTTCTCCCACACTCTGAACTTCAGGTTGGAAATGCATTTTGCAACATTGATCAGAGCTCCTGATGTCTTCTGTGGATCCTTTGGTGTGCTCTTGAGTCTGAAAACAGCAGATAATGTATTGTATAATTCACTTGTCCTGAAGAAATACTGCTTTTAATGTACCATTAATTCAGCTATAAGTCAAAGCACATTTTTGCAAACTAATTTCTAAACAAAATGTAATCTTATAAAGAGTTTAGATGAGAGAAATAAATTTATATTGGCCCTCTGTATCTTATTACTGTACAAGGAGACAGAATCTTTGATGCTTGTATCATATTTAACAGGCTACATTTACATATTTTCTTATTAGTTTTAAGATTTTTAGGGAAGAAACAGATATTATTGCTTACTCCAAGAAATCCAACTATGAAAACGTTATTTCAGGAAATCTTACTTTTTTTCCTTAATATAAGCATCTGTCAATACTCCAAGTTTAGTGAATGGCTTTTTATGCAACATACCACATAAAATTGTCATAAGTCATACCCAAATTTGCCACCAGAGTTTTAACTGATGTCATGACTACAGTGATTAAGTGACCCTTATTAGTCCCACAATGGGGAAATTTCACCTCTGCATTTAACCCATCCGTACAGTGAACCACCACATACACACTATTGAAGACACACACTAGGGGGCAGTGAGCACACTTGCTCGGAGCAGTGGGCAGCCCTATCCACAGTTGGGGGGTTAGGCGCCTTGCTCAGCGACACCTCAGTAATGTACTGTCGGCTCAGGGGATCGAATCGGCGTCCTTCCGTCCGCAAGGCTGGTTCCCTAACCTCTAGCCCACAACTGCCCCCTCCATGACTGCCACGACTGCCACGACTGCCCAGGCAAATCACACACAGACTGCCATGACTACTTTTTATAAAGTTTGCCCTGCTCATGGATCCATCCACTCTGCTTGGGTCATGTGGGAGATATCATTGCTATCCCCCACACGATAACTTTACAGGAGAAGGAAAAAACTTACTTAACTTTTAATGTAAGTCAATGGAACCAGACGTTTTTCCCCAAGTAATTTTGGGTCATTTCTTTTGGTCCATTCTCAATGAAATTTACACATGATGTAAAAGCCAACAAGCAATTTCAAATTATGCCAAAAACTGAAATTCCGACTGCAGTGATATACTGAATCATCTCAAATGAAGGCAAAATCTCTACTTATTATAAGATTGTTATGATTGTTTATGATAGACTTATTTCTGCACATTTGTGTGTTTTGTGTGGGATTAATGTCGTTTGGTCATGTGCACGACATTGTATTGATAATCATGCACAGCTTTAGTGGTTTCAAAGCTTTTACAGACATAACATCTGGTTAAGTCTGAGGTTGATTGGTACAGCATGACTTCAGGCTTTGAACTGATTGTTTTAACAAGCCAATTTTGCTGAACAAATTGAATTTAACTATAAAATTGTGTGTTCATTCATGAAATTAAAAAAAATTAAGACATTAATATAACATATATAACATTTTGGAAAACACCTATACCAAATGTTTACCATTTACTTCTTTTATGTTTTGTTTTTATTACTCGCCAAAAAATGGAATATTATAGCTTTTACTGAGTGTTTTTCTGAACCTGTTGGATATATTTTAAATCAACAGCATTGATTTTAGTATTTACTTACTGATTCATTGTCGACTGAACTTTCTAAAAGAGGGGAAAAAGGAAAAGAAATTGATGGCACAAATGATGTTTATCCTACAGGAGATACAGAAAGATAACAACTGAACAAGAACATTAGAGAGAGAGTGAGAAGTGTTTGTTACCTGTAAGAACAGAACGTCCTCAGCTCCCATTTCCTTCTCTATGTGTCTGATTGTGTCTGAAAGAGCTGATATTTCTCCATTCATCTCCTCAATCTTCCTCCTCATCATCTGACTCTTCTGCTCCTCTTCCTCCTTCAGTGCAGCTATCCTTGCTGCTTCTTCATCTCTTAGAAACTGGTGAAGCTTCTCAAACTCCTCCTTTATCTGCCTCTCTGTGTGCTGGGCCTGCGTCTGGAATGAGAGACCATTAGGAAACACAAACTCTAACAGATGATCTACAAACATTTACCACCTACAGGAGAAGTGGACACTCATCAGAAACATCACCTCAGCAACATGTTCCACAATTCAAGATGATGTTTCACCTTAATGTGAGCTGCTGTTTGGTCATAGTCTTGTCTTGTCTCCTCATAGAGCTTCAGTTTCTCTTGTAGAGACTCTAAAGAGGTCTTGAGTTCTGTCTGGAATAATCAAATATACAGTTTAACTGAGACAATTCTCTACCTGCAAACTAATGGAGCTATTCTTAGGTTATAGAAGTATGTAATAAAAAGCAAAGGTTCCTAAATGGTTCTTGGCTTGGATGTATGGTTCTAGAATTAAACTTTAATTTGTGTACAGCCTTCACAGAACCTTTTTTATTATTTTCACACTCAGACATCATCAACTAAAAGTGGTTCTTCTATGGTACGACTCCAAAGAACCATTTCTGACAGCTATAAGGGCCAATATCCTACTATGCTTATTTTTTTTCTTTTCCTTGAGGTTCATTTATGATGATTTTTGTACCAAAACCAGTTGGAATTAATTTTTATGTCATTATTTTTTATGTGTTAGAATGAAACAGACTGATATATGTAAATGAGCTCTGTCCTGATTGGCTGCTTTGTATTTTACCTCATTAAAAAAGCAGTCTGAGCTGAAACTAATGTACACAGAATAGGTTAATATAAACCAATCAGCCATAATATTAAAACCACCTTCTACACTCAGTGTCCATTTTATCAGCTCCACTTACTATATAGGTGCACTTTGTAGTTCTACAGTTACAGACTGTAGTCCATCTGTTTCTCTGCATACTTTTTCAGCCCCCTTCACCCTGTTCTTCAGTGGTCAGGACCCCTATGGACCCTCACAGAGCAGGTACTATTTGGGTGGTGGATCATTCTCAGCACTGCAGTAACACTGACGTGGTGGTGGTGTGTTAGTGTGTGTTGTGCTGGTCTGAGTGGATCAGACACAGCAGTGCTGCTGGAGTTTTTAAACACGTCAGTGTCACTGCTGGACTGAGAATAGTCCACCAACCAAAAATATCCAGCCAACAGCGTCCTGTGGGCAGCGTCCTGTGACCACTGATGAAGGACTAGAGGATGACCAACACAAACTGTGCAGCAGCAGATGAGCTGTCGTCTCTGACTTTACATCTACAAGGTGAACCAACAAGGTAGGAGTGTCTAATAGAGTGGACAGTGAGTGGACACAGTGTTTAAAAACTCCAGCAGCACTGCTGTGTCTGATCCACTCACACCAGCACAACATGCACTAACACAACACCACCACGTCAGTGTTACTGCAGTGCTCTGTGGTGGTCCTGACCATTAAAGAACAGGATGGAAGGGGCTACCAAAGTATGTAGAGAAACAGATGGACTACAGTCTGTAATTGTAGAACTACAAAGTGCTCCTATATATATAAGTGGAACTGTAAAACTGGACATGGAGTGTAGATACAAGGAGGTGATTTTAATGTTATGGCTGATCATTGCATGTAAATCTGTTGATTTTCATGACATCACAAAAACAACAAATTCAAAACTGGCTGGTTTTGCAGCTTAGACTCAATATATGGACAGTATGGGCTGTGGGGATGTAACATGCTTCAAAAATGCTATATAGTATATACAACTCTTTCCACACATTGAACACACATCATTTTTCATTTCAAAAATTGAGTAATACTCAGTGTCCTCTGAAATGGGCCCTTTCCTACTTCAGTTTGCGTTTACACCATACATTCCTTTCCTCATTGTTTTTATTTTGCCTTCAAGTCACATGCATTTCCAATCGGACCCCACTCACTCTGTCACACGTTACATAACAGGATGGACTGGCACTCACAGGACATAAGTTGTTTTGTATCTTCTTCTGTCTTAAAAGCGTGGTCAATTTTTCAGGTTCACAAACACAAATCAAACCAGTAGAATAAACATCCTACCTTGAAAGTGTGCACAGCTTCGTCTGTTGGACAGCAGCTGTGATTTCTATGGATTTGTGAGGCCTGACACACCACACACACAGGCTGCTGATCATCCAGACAGAAGAGTTTGAGTTTCTCATTGTGCAGAATGCAGAGCACCTCAGACCCTGCTGAAGATCTCTGACTCCTGCTCTCTAGAAAAGACTCACACACGTTTTTCAGTACGAGGTTACAGGGGGGCTCATATTTTAAGGGGAATCTTCTTCTACAAACTGGACATTCTCGAGATCTCTTAGTTGCCCAGAACTGCTGCAGACAGGTTTTACACACACTGTGGCTGCACGACAGAACAACAGGATCCCTGAAGATGTCACAGCACACAGGACAGGAAAGCTCTTCTTCCGAAACAAGGTTTTTAGCAGCCATTTCCTCCAACTGCTGCTGTGCTGGTTGTCTGTAATGGCTTCTTTAGTCCAGTTAGTTCCACAAAATGAACGTGGCAGCACAAACAAAATCCGACAGCTGAACGCTCTTCCTCTCACGCTTCAGGCATCTGAGGACATCTGCAGGACAGAGCATACATCTGTTGCTTACTTCCTTTTTTCAGTGTGTACCAGCAAAGGAAACATGGATCTCCTATGGAAAAAACATGGCTGTGTACTTCCTTCAATGACAAAGTAAGGGAGGAGTAATTTTGATAAGGAGGAGCTAGATAGTCACAAAATTGTACTTGTATGCTTTATCCACTAGATGGAGACAGTTCACTGCATATTAGGTTGCCATAGAACAACTTGAATTGGCTCACTGGGTCTCTTGCTGGAACACTCTCTAACAGTTAAGATGATCTTAACACAATAAACTTAGCTGGTATACATTTATTACTTAACCAAATAGTTAGCATTTCTTGTTTTGGGAGAGTCTGCACTGTACGATTTCTGGTTTCTCTGACAACCAGTTTCAGCAAACGAAATAAGCTCTAGATTTGAGAAAAAGTGTTTTAATGTGTGCAGCATTGACAGCTTAGTCCACTGGAGCTGGACTACAAACATATTTTTGGGCAATTAATTTTGTTATGGAAATACGAGAAGCATTGGTAACGCTTCAGTATATAGGTAATGTTATAATGCCTTTATAAAGGTCTATTAAGCTTATTAATACATTATTAAACAGTAATTAGAATTAATCATTTTCCAGAGACTTTTCCCACAAGAAGGATAACATGGTTTACAGGAGCTTTATGAATATATCGGTTAGTGATTGATTGAAGTACGCTATATAGCCAAAAGTATGTGGACACCCCTCCTAATAATTCAGTTCAGGTTTTTCAGCCACACCCATTACTAACATGGATAAAGATTAAGCACATAGCCTTGCAGTCTCCTTAGACAAACACTGATAGTTGAATGGGTCATACTGAATAACTCAGTTTAAACATGGCTCAAGTCAGTTTGTGAAATGTTTGTCCTGCTAGATCTGCCCCTGTCAACTGTAAGTGCTATTATTGTGAAATGGATGTATCTAGAACAACAGCTCAGCCACAAAGTTGTAGACCACACAAATCACAGAGTGGTGCCGCTGTGTGCTGAAGTGACAGTGCATATCCTCTGTTCAACCACTCACTAAAGAGTTCCAGACTGCCTCTGGAGGCTGCATCAGCGAAAGAACTGAGCATCAGGAGCTTCATGGAATGGGTTTCCAAGGATGAGCAGCTGCACATGGAGCCCTGACCACATTCCCAGACACAAATGTTTCAGAAAGCCTTCTCAGAAGAGTAGAGGCTGTTATAGCCACAAAAGGGAGGTAAACTCTATAGTAATCCCCATGATTTTGGAGTGGAATGTCTAAGCAGATCATATGTGTGTGATGTACGGGTGTCCATATACTTTTGGCAATAGTTCTTGGCCATATTAATAGATAAGAACAAACTGCCACACTGATCAGGACGGGACATTTTGGGTGTGTCTGAAATGCAAGTTTTATAATAATAATAATAATAATAATATTTTACTTATATTGCACTTTTCACGTTGGTGGCAGCTCAAAGTGCTTTCTAGGTGATAAAAAATAGTTCTACAAGAAATTATAAGTATTAATGTAGAATCATAAGAAAATGACACAGATCAAATTAAAAGATATCACAAGACATAGAGTTATAATTAAACGCATTTTGTACCATGTAAAGGATGTATCATTTTCTTAGGGAGTCCAGTAAGAAGAGCATTACAATGATCAACTCTGCTTGTAACAAATGTATGAACACGTTTCTCTGCGCCGCTCTGAGATAGAAAAGGCAGAACTTTAGCGATATTTCTCAAATGATAAAAAGCTACGTTAGTGACTGTGTTTACATGTGGGGTAAAACAGAGCTCAGAGTCTAAGATCACACCCAGGTTTCCTTCTTCAGGTTTGGTATATGAAGATAAAGAGCGTAAAGCATTTTTCTATACCAATGATCAGTACAGTTTTTTTTGTGATTTAGTTATGGAAAATTTTGCGACACCCCACGCTGCCATCTCCTAGGGTGGGCTTTCAGTTAACTGCTCCAGCACCACCAGACTGAGCACTTCCTCGGAATCACATTCTTCGGACAACAGCCACCTCCTGCAGGAAACGTCAAGCTGTTGCGCCAACATGGAGGGCCAGTCAAACTCCCATTGCATCAGCCGAACTGCTGACTGTGTTGTTGAGTCCAGCCAACCCTCTGAAGGTCAACTTTTTTCAGTTCATTGTACTCCAATCTCTCCAAGCGATGAAGACTCAATGGCGACGTTCATTCACACGTCCTGGGTTTCGGCACCACTGTGATGCTTTTTGTGAGGCTGGGAGGAGTGAGGACACTAGGTGCAGGGTGTGGAGTGTTTTCTTTTTATTCTGATAACAGCTTTTCAACCAACATACCGTGATTTCCTTCTCTCTGGCTATAAGCAGGCTGGCAGAAACAAGACACAGGTAAATCTTGTCAGCTACTCAGCCTGCTGGTTCGGCATGACTGGCTTTCCGTCCTGCATGTGATACTTGGCCATGCCCCCTCCTCCACACCATCTTCTTACTTTGGAAAAATCCTTCTGAACTTCTTCTGAATAGCAGAATACATTAGAATCTACAACATGGGAGTCAAACTGGGTTCTCTCTGGGCCACAGCTCTGCAGAAATTAGCATTTTAGCTCTTCCAGCTATTGAAAATCAACACACAATAACATTGTTAATTAGCTGATGTGTTGACTAAGACAGAACACTGATTTATGTAGTGCATTGTTCTGGCAAGAGTGGTATCTGACACATAATCTACAATATGTATAAGGCAACTTTACATATGTTAAAACTTGAAGTAATTTTAGTCTTTGCATTGTTGCTATTTGAGAGATGATTGACCAGAGTACAGAAGGCAAGTATGAAAAACAGTACTGTTATTAGTAAAGAAGGTTTCATAGACTGTAGCTAACAAACAGTAAAGAGATAATGAAAAATAACAACAACAGAGATAAAAACACAAAAACATTTCACTATTGACTAAATATTTTCATGAAATACAGAAAATGTGAAAGAGAACATGTTTGCCAACATGAAATCCAAGCCTGGCTTTTTTAAATCTCCTCCTCCTCTACACCTCCTCTACCTGTTGGAGGAAGTGAATCTCATACCGTCTCTCTGATCTTTCTTCATTCTGCACTCACTTCACTCAGAGACACCAATGAGGAGCTTTTAAACAGTGACTGTATGTGTTTGTTTCTTGATGTGTGATTCTGAAAGGAGCTAAAACTCACTCAGTGGGTTGAAGGGCTACGGTGGCTGATTCTCAACTGTGCTGCTCTGATCATTACAGACGTCCTAAAAGAGAAAGTGGAGTTTGGACTAAAGGAGCCGTTACAGAGAAACAGCACAGCAGCAGTTGGAGGAAATAGCTGCTAGAAACCCTCTCCCAGTTTGTGAGAGAAGATCCTCTAAAGATGATCCTTCTGTTAGCCATACACAGAAGAGCCTTTGTGAGTCTTTTCTAAGGAGCAGGAGTCAGAGATCTTCAGCAGGGTCTGAGGAGCTCTGCATTCTGCACAATGAGAAACTCAAACTCTTCTGTTTGGATGATCAGCAGTCTGTGTGTGTGGAGTGTCATCTATCAAGAACACATAGGGACCACAACTGCTGTCCAGCAGAGGAAGCTATGACTGACTTTAAGGTATGAAATCTTAAAAAAATAACACTGGTGCAAATTAAGGAGGGTGGGCACTTTTGACATTAATCAAGATCATTTTTATGGGGTAGCAAAAAAGTTGTCCAAAAAAAAACTTTAATGTTTTTCAATAAATCTACTACACTAAGCATATTGCCTTGTCATTACAAGCTGAATCAAAGCTGTGTGAGTGAAATGTGCTGTGCACACTGAGGAAAAGTAATAAAAAAGTTTCTGTCAGGGTGGAGATGACAGTGTGGATTCCAATGGCTTCAACACTTTTATTTACCTAGTTTTATGTTTGAATTTGGATATCTTCCTCATTCCAAATGTCCAGTATACTGGGCATTTTTCCAATGTATTCTATCTCTATAGTAGTTGGTGTGTCATCACACTCACTTGTATGTCTTTCTACAGATCCCAGTGTTTGTATTGGTTAATCATTTAATAGAATATTTTATTTTTATATTGTGTATGTAGGCTATAGTATTTCTTTGTTGCCCCCTGCCCCAATTCTTATCAGACCAAATTTGTACCCTGATCACAACCAAGTGTTACTCTTTCTAAGTGAAATAGCAGGATGACCCTTTAGATAAATGCAAAACAGCTATTGCCCTTTAGTCTATGCTGTACCATTGTTGACATGATGTCTCAATGCTTTTATTGCAAATTCAAAGCTCACAGTGCTTTACAATTAAGTAATGAGTTCAGTAGTGTTGAGTAACAATTTAAAAAAGAAACTAAAGTCGAATTAATTTTAAGTTAAAGATGAGTATTAATTAGGTGTCTAAGAATGCATTGTGACCTTGTGATATCACAATGTAAAACTGTCACATTCATGTCACATTTTCATATCTTAATGATTAGGGTTGTTGGTTTACTTTATTCAAATTTTGTCTAAAATCTTATGAGAATTTAGTTGTATGCAAAGGTTTGGATTCTCCTGGTAAAATTATATTTTGTTGATTTTTTTTAAATTGAGAATAAGTTAACATATAGCACGTCATGTGCTACACTGGGCTCAAAGAGGACGCTGGAGGCAGACACAAACTAAAACACCACCAAAGCTAAGCTGGCCACTTTTCAGTGGCTTTAAACAGTCCTTTTCTCTCTTGAGCTCTCCAGCTCCTTAATCTTCAGTCTCTCACTGCTTCTGCTGCTGCCCATCCCTCTTTCTCTCTGTTCCCTTTCTGCTCTTTTTAAAAGGTGCTCACGCTGCCAGCCAGATCAGTTCTTGCCAGGGTTCGTCCTTGCTCGGAGTTTGGGCCCCGCCTCCCTGCTGGCCCTCACAGCCATCATCGGGGCCCGGGGGATGGGCACATGCCATACCCAGGCTTATTAACTGGCTAGACTCATGTAACAAGCAAAACAGGTGTAACAGATTACATTATATAAAATTGATACACAGATGGAGCATTGGACAGGCCGAATAGCATTACTAAATATTCATAGTGCCCCCTACCGGTGATGAATACCGGTGATGTT